TCCCCACAACCTCGAGAGGTGATAGTAACAAATTGATTTTCTTTTTCTCGCACAGAATTGTCATTCGTTCCGAGAATTGTTCTTGAATTATTTCGGCTCGGTTTTTCTTCTCTCCACTTGATAATAAAAATTTCATGAGTTCATGTTTATATCGGATGCCCAGCAATAAATATCGAATTAGATTTTAATTTGGACATCGCCTGAATTGTGCATGCGTGTGCATATGAAATGGATGCTCTCGCAACCGAACGATTCATTGCTTGTCCATTGTTCTCTTTGCTCTTTTTGTCTGTGTCTCGAAAATGTATATCATGCCTGAGCCAATAAAATGTCTTTCGGTTTTAATGGAAAGCCGTTTTTTTGTGTGTGTGCTCTCTCCGTCATGTTTCTCTTTGGCCATCCAAAGTGAAATGAATGTGGTAAAATGGCTAGGAAGTACATGAATTTCGGTTTTATTATTTTGTTTCGATACGAAAGTGTGTGTATGTGTTTCTGTGTGATATATGAAAAAAAAACGCCAGAGTCGAAGCCCAAACAAAAGTTTTTTTTTTTTTGAATAAAGCCGTTTCACAGACTATTGCTCGAGGCAGGCTATTGTCCGATGTACACGATACAATGCGTATGAAGCGCGCTGAAGGTCACAATATTTCCGGATCGCTAGTGATGATGATAAATGCCATGATTGACAAAGACTTTTTTACTCTTTGCCGATCGAAAGAAGATAGTGGAAAAATCATTACCATCACCGGAACATCACGCATTTGGTGTGTGTGCGCAACACACAGCTCATGCACACAAACACATGAGCCGGGATTTGGACGCCTGTTCGTGAATTATCTTTGTCAGCAATTGGACACGGGCGATGAACACATGAACTTTGCTGGCACATAAATTTTGGTCGCTTGTCGTGACAAACAGTGAAATATCGATAAAATGAGCCGGACTGCTGACTGACGCTGTCGATTTACCAACCGAAAATGATGAAACGCATGAATTCGGGTTTTTTTCTGCAACGTTGTCAGAACAATATTTCATTTAATTCACACCGAAAGAAAAATCCATTTTTTTCGGTTACACAGTGATTTAACGAGTTTACTTTCGATACTCGTTCTGGAGTGAATCGCCAAATGGCTTTCTGCTGAAAATGGATTTAGATTGGTAATAGATATGGTTATGAGCACATGAAAAACCTATCTGTTATTATAACAGTGTTATAGTATACAATAAAAATGCTATATCCAGCGAAAGAAAGAAAAAACCACTCAGTGTGCAGTGTGCAACAAAAAAGAAGAAGAAGAATTAACTTCTGTAAATGAGCTTTGAATGTGTTGCTCCACTGCATTTGAGGTGCGTGCATGTTTATGCAATAACGAATCGCCTGTTTACTTTGTCCATTCGTTACGCCATAGAATGCCCTGGGTGTGAAATTTTTTCTGCACTGTTGCAATTATTTTTAGCATTTCAGTCACATTTCTGACAGATATTTTCTAAAGGAAAAAAAAGGCGGCAGATCCAAATTCGGTCAGACCAGAGTCGCTCAGTCAAATGTTTAGTTTTCACAAAGCGCACTCGAGCTCATGCTGCTTTCCAAGAATATTATGGCTTCAATTAGTAAAAATGGCACTGAGATGGTCATGCTGAGCTCATGATGGTTTGATTATTTTATAAGATGAATGCACATCATTTTCAATGGTCGGAATAATAGCAAATATTTTTATTTTTTTATTCAAACCTGTAATTCGGCTATTTAAGCTCAAAATTCTCGGCAAAAAAAATTTCGGCTGAAGTGGCGGTTATCTGCCACTTTACCTTCGAAATCCAATTGGGTCGATTTTTTTTTCTTTGACCTTTAAACATCAAGTGTTGATATTCTATTGAATTGTCAAAAATAACTCATCAAAACACAATCGAGACAGTGATTTGGTTGAAATATTCAACAGAAAATAAAGATGTTGGTTGTTCTGGTGGAAAAACAGCTCGTGTACAATGTGAACCTATGATTTTGTTATAAATAAACCGAGAGAGTAATGTACGTATAAAAATTGTTTCTAGAATAATTGTTCTGGCAGCAGTGGCATGGAAAGTAAACATGGACAGTGTGTAAAAACAACGATGTGGGAGATCTAAGTGGCATTCTCGCTTACTTTGAAATGAAAAAGAAAAGAATCGAGAGAACAATGAAGCACACGTTGATTAAAATACCGATTCAAAAATTAAAAAGCAATTAGAATGATCGTGAAATTGTGATGTAAACAGTGGAGCAGTGTTCAAGAAATGTTGATGAATATTCAAAAATAGATGAAGGATGCCGTTGAAAATGAGAATTCTAATTTGAAACAAGTCATCCGTGAGTTTAAAAGATTGGCGGGAGTAATGCGAAAGACATGTAAATTGAATGCATTCGTGCTTAAGTCGGCTCAATGGCTAATGATTTACGTGGAATGGTATAATATGGCTGAATGTCATTAGATAAGTATTTCGACTCCAGTTGACATGTGATGTGATGTGATGTGATGCATTCCGACCATTCCATCGGTTCAGCGCGAATGCTGAAGATTGATAACTACCATTTTTTGCGTGATTTCTGTACGTTTTGAAAATTCTTGGTGACAAACGAAAGCAACAAAAGAATATGCTCGTTCATATTTCATCCAATTTTGGATTCGAAACTCTTCTCGTTCTCTATGCTGAAGACGTTGGAATGTGTTGCTCATTAGAGAGAGGCGATTCACCATAGGGAATGGTTTTTGTGAATGTGTTTCGTCAAAATCGAGGCAATTTTTTCTCATTTCGTACGAATAATGTGAACGAATTTCACTCATTTATTATAACTATTAATGACGATCATCAACACCGTTCGTTAGCATTCGAGCGGTTCACGCGCTCCCTTACAATGGCAATTGAAATGTGATTGAAACAAGTACGCGCACAGTGCATGGCGTATACACACACAAAGTGTCTATTTCCTACATGTGAAACGAGGGAGAACATCAAAACAGCAACAACAATAGCAACAACAATAAATGCGTACGCACACACGAGAAATGGAGAAGGAGCGAGAGCGAGAAGAAAAAACTATATGAATTAATAACAGCAATAATGATGGCTCAACAGAAATGACAATGAATCAGCTCGCGTTCGAAAGAACGAAGAGGTAAATGAATAACAAAGCAGAAAAAAAGATGAATATAAGAAGCCAACGACATGAAAACATATATACACACACCGTGCCGCTGTATGCGCATAAGAAGCGAACGATTGAGTGAACGAACGAGAGAAAGAAGAAGTTATGCGAATACGACACAAATGATGATAGGCAAAACAATGGATAAAGAATGTTCATGGCAGAATAACAACGGCAAACCGAAGATATTTCCTTAATGTGTGCCCAAGTGTTTGTTGAGCAAAGAAGAGATATGGTACTGTGCGGCACGGAATTGCTGCTAAATCCATGGCAAACACATCGCAGCTAAAGATTCTGAGGAGAGAATGACGGCAGAGCAGAGCAGAAGAAAAAAAAAAGAAATTAACGAGAGAAGCGACGCTTTTTGCGTATTCCTTGTTACTTCTTTGCCAGTTTTCTTTATGGGTTTCGATTCTTATGCGTATAATAACGGTACTCTTCAATGGTCATATGAATTCAAAGCGTACAACTCACAACTGCCGCGCGTTGCCACTCATTCGCGTACACGTAATCATTTAATTGATCATTCGCTTATTTGTTTTATATATTTTGTTCACTTCTCTGCTGTTATTTCTCTGGTCTGCATGTGGTTTTTATTCAATTCCGCACTCTTTTTACGCCCGCTTATGTCGCGCTACTCTCTCAACTCGCCGAACGGGTCAACGTCAATAATATGATTGCATCGAATGAAAAGTCAACGGACTTTATGTATACTCACTGCTTTTGGATCACTCTTAAAATAGACTGATTTTATTGTTTTTTTCTCATGCTGCGTGTGTGTTTTTATGTGCTTAGCTCAGCAGCCTGCTAATCTTGTTCACATACGCGTACACACATCACATGTACCGTTGCTTTGCTTGCGTTCGAATTAGAAATTTCAATGTCATTTACATTTGAATTAATTAAAAATAATTCCGTTTTGTCGAAGGTTCTGCGAGTTTTCTGTTCACTTTATGGAATGGAAAAGTTAATTATTTCGACGAGAATGGTTATTGTTTTAATGGTTTTTCATGTAAAATCTCTTATTTTCCTTACGAGCGCTCATATCACATGTACGATAAATGAATAAAAAAAGTTTCACCGAGAAAGAAAAACACCATTAAAATACAGTAAACAAAAGAAATTTCCAAGTTAAACGAGAGTAAAAAAAAGGATTGAGCAGCACTCGTTGAAGTTTAAGACTCATAGCAAATTTCATTTGCATTGATGTCTTTGCATTTTCTATGACTTGGCTATAAAGTTAGGATCGGTGGTTGTTGTTCTTTGCGATACATCGAAATGCTGTGTTTCGTTTTTGTTTGATAGCTAAACCGCCCGCAGGCAATCACAATATTGACGCGAGCGTACGTTCTACGTGTTTTTCTTGTGAACAATTTTTAGCCAGAAAAACAAAAAATATATTTTGACAGTTTTCGATAGATTTCACATCTATATTACATGGCACACAAACGTAATTCATCATTCATTTGTGCCACTGACACGGAATGGGTGTATTCAAACGAACCAAATCAAAATCGCTCAACACTTGAAACATTTTTTTTTCTTCAGCCATAAAATGGTATTTTCCTTTGGTCTACTTAGAAGCAGTTTTCTTTTACAAAATTTCATGAAATTAGTTATAATTTGTTTATGTCGAGATTTTCAACATCCATGGAAATTATTGACTGTATCATATGAAATTGTTGACAGATTTTCATCAAAAAAATAAATTTTCCTTTTAATTACTGTGGAAAAAATATTTTTATGTTCAGAAAAAAATAGAGAAAGAAACATATTTTATGAATTAACTGGTTTGTTTGTTTTTTTTTGTCCTTACGTTTTATTTGGTTAGTGTGTGTGTGTTTGTGATAATCCAATCCAAAAGTGAATGAGAACGAATAATATTTGTGATGAATGACGAATGTCAACGAGCTATTTTCAAATGCAGCAAACAATGTTGAATGAGATTTAACCGTTTACGATTAGTTTTTATTGAATCTTTCCGTTTCGGGGCGGCCCGCTATTCATTCGCTCGCTATTTTATACAATTGAATCTTCTTTCAAATGTAATCTGGCAATCACTTCAGTCGAAACGATTTATTGTGTTGTTGGGTCCCATAAAAACACACCAAAATATAAATGACAGCGACACAAAATAACCACTTGTTATGTATGTATATGCACTTCTAAGAGGAACGGGAAACTTTTTATTGAACGTCACTGAGTTGAGTCACTAGTTTCAGTTTAATGTGTTCAAGTGATCAGCAAATTCTTCTCTTTTTTCTCTCTCTCTTCGCTCTAGAAATTTTATTTATTTCTCAAATTAATCTTTATTGACGTTAACTGAATTCGGTGTATATTTTTTCCTTTATCTCTCTCTTATTGAATCATAGAGCACTGAAACCAAAGTACTTCAAACACAAGTAAACTCATCGGTATTTGCTCAAAATCAAATCACTTGAAATAAAATGTTCTCTATTTCAACCAACTCCGGAAAGCGAAGAAAAGTGATAATTTTCCAAATTGCAGTTCTATTCACTATTCACTGTCAAGTGGCAACGAAGGAGCATCGATAAACGAATGACACAAAATAAAGTCAGAAAGAAAAAAAAATCGATTTCCACTTCGTGTCTCTATTTTTTTTTGTTCCTCTCACTAATTTTAAAATTCTTCTTCTATTTCATCTATGTTCCGTTTGAAGGTCCACTTCCGATTAGTTATTTTGCTGTTCTTTTATACAAAAATTGAAGGAACCGAAATTTGAATGGTTAAATGAAACAAGAACGGAGAAAAACGAAAATCGAAATTTCACACAGAACAATAAATAGAAATTGCGCGCGGTCTAAATGTACACACGCGAGAATCGGGGGGAAAGAATTCCAAAAACGATACACAGACGATTGTGGTGATCAACAGTCGATGCAAGACTAACGAACAGCAACGGTATTCTGGACGAGCTCACTCATGGGCAATCCGTTTTGCAATTGAGTCTCGCATGCGGCGGGCACAATCGACGTGTCTACTTTTTGGTACTCCGCAATCATCGGGACGCACGCAAATCCAAGCGTCATGCGGATAGCGACTGAAAAACTCAATAACGGGCGATAACGAATGAAGTAACAAGAAAAAAAACACTTGAATAATAGAAGCAATGGGCGCGCATGAGCCGAAACCGTCGTTCTGCAAGCTGAAACAACGTGATTTGAGTGAAATCTTGGATTTTGAGTTATTTTTTAACTAAACGGCTTGATGTGAAGCTTTATACGCAGTTTGTGTTTGTAGGCTATTAAACCTGTTATGAAAAACAATATTTATCAATAAAAAAAATTCATTCCGTTTTAAAATTCTCCTTTTGTTTTCTGGGCGCCATTCCAAATTGCAAATACCTCACTTTGAAACTCTCGATAATAACAGAAGAATTCAAGGTATTTGCGTGGGGTGATGAGGCATTGAGGTAGCAATTGCGCTTTTGGTGCCGCATTCGATGAGGAAAAATTGGGAAACGCGTCGAGCAAAATGCCGGTATGACGTCATCGTTGGTAGCGTTAATGACAGAAAAACAGTGGCAAAGGGAATGGCAAACGGCAGTCAGTAAATTGTCGTCCATCTGTTTTCATTTGGAGTTGATTCTCAACGAAAACGACGATGGAAAAAGACAACACACAGCTATCACAGCGACGGTCTGTGTTGCGTCTAGAGGAAATTGTTTGGGTACACGGGATATGTGGACATGTGTATTTCGCAGGCGCACAAAGTTTTTGCCCAAAACAACGTTTTTTTTCGCATCGAGCAGATGATGTGAATGTGCAATGAAATGGAAAAATGTTCGCTTTTGAAAATCAGCCTATCTAAATGGATTGTTGCCGAAGTTCATGGCAAACAACAACAAAAGCAGCAATAACGACAAAAAAAAAAAATGTGAATCGTATTATTAATATGCCGGTCAGTGGTACACTCATAATTTATTCGCATCGTTTTGCGATAAATTTGTTGTGATCGAGGAAAAATGTTCAATCATCACGGCTTTCGGTGGGCAATAATTAATGGTTGAAGGCTTAAACCACTTGTGCATTTGTACCGCAAAGGTGTGAAATGCTGTGTGCATGGTCGTAAGCCGATTTATCAGTGAAGAATCTATTAATTGGCATATCATTCGTATTCGATCTACCCTGAATGCACAATGAGTTCAATGATTTTACTTGTGTGTATTTGTGTGTGTGCTCAGGTTTTTTTCTGCGCACCGCCATTCATTTTCACGTTGAAAATGCAGCGATATATATTCCAATATATTGGAAAGTGGATTTACGATATTTGGTCTTTTTTTTGTACTGCTAACGCTGTTACTGCTGCTACTGTGTGTATGTTTTTTTTTATTTCATTTCGCATTAAATAGAGTTTCGCATGAACGTTCTGCGGTTCCATTTCAATGAAGCGTTACAAATGCATCGAGTGCATAACACGATTTTCTGTTTGTTTTCATTGGCAACTTAAATGAATGATTAAAATGGGTAAATAATAATAATTGAATGTTGGGAATCAGCCTCTGCACACGCACACACGTGTTGATTACAGCGATCGACAAGCAAACGGGTGTATTACAATTGATTGCTCCTGCGATTGCGGTCAATTGCAACGCACAATTGATACTATTTTTAAAATTGAACTACACACACACACACCCATGTGGTGTCTATCACATGAATGATGAGATAATTCGACGCCGATTGTCGAAAAAATTGCACACTTTTTGCGACCAACATTTTTGGGCACTGTTTTGGAATAAATTGTTGAATTGATTTTCCAGCGAAATAATTCAATATTCTTTCAACCATGAATCAAAGTGCGAGAGCAAGAGGGAAACAGAGACCGAGAGGTTGAATCAACGAGAGAGCGAGCAAAAAAATAAAATCACCACTGAACATTTTGCGTTGGCAGCGATTGTTTCACGATTGACTGCATCGAACACATTATATACCCATTTCATAATGAATGCGGTTACCGTGTTCCACACGCCCCACCGCCAATCACCCATACCTCAATAGTTTTGCATTTTGTAATTATATTTTCGGTACGCATTTAATTTACAATTGGAAAATCATATCAATACACCCGCAAAACAATCGCAACAATGATAACTACTAATACATTTGTGGTTTTGTGGTTGCTAGCTCGCCTCTTTTTTCTTTCTTCTCTCTGGCTCGTGCGCGAGTTAATGAAAAAAAATGGAATATGTACCATTGATATGTGTGGTAAATAAAATAAAATGAAAACCTAATCGCAATTAAAGCGTTTTGTATGAACGCATTTTCAGCGCATTCACACAATAAATTGGATGAAAAAAAAAGCCCGCGTGATGGTTCAGTCGAATCAATATATTTCTTGTTTTGTGCTTTTGCCAATGAATTGATTGCTTTCCGTTATTTTAATTCGTTTTTGTACAACGAACCTTTTCCATTTTTTCTGACAGATTTTACGTTTTTTTCTTCATGAAGGACGATGCATCGTCCCTAGACAATAAAATTGGTGTTGCTTTTTTTTAGGCGGAATCCCTTTGAAATCACATCTGAGAGGTTGGTGGGTGCTTTCGTTTACATTAAAAATGACCAATTACGGTGGACGCAGCAGACTGATAACATTCCAGAACAATGAACCGGTTGTTTTTTTATTCTTTGCTTCCTTTTAAATGCCTATCTCATCCATGCCGAGATTTAAATTACCAAGAGATGATGAGTCGTTGTGCTCTTTTATTACTTACTGCGTTCGCTTGTACTCATGCAGCACTCGCGGGGAACGTCTTCCATTCATTTAAAAAGCAATTCGTATTGGAAAAAATACAAATAAAAAACCGGTGAAAACAAACTGAACATACCTGCAAAAGAGATAGAGAGAGAAAACCGTTCAAATTTTAATATGAAAATATTCAAATGAGCTTATAAATTATTGATCAAACAAACGTCGCAGCGATTCGGGCGAAATTATAATATTTGCAATAATCAGGAGTCACACTTTGATTGCATCACAAAAAATCATCCATTTGATTGGAGTAATCATTAAATGATTTCCAATTGAGTCGATAAATGTTCGATTGTATATGAATTTGGGTTTGTGTTTGTGTTTTGGATGAGTCAATAATCCCATGTTGCATGCAATAATTTGATGATTGATTTTCAAATTATTTGTCGCTCATTTTTGGAAAACTTCAACGATTGACTGAGAGTTAATAATCACACATTTCGTCAGGTTATGGAAATTGATGATTGTCTTCTTCTCGTTAAAAACGTTATCTTCAATTTCATGAAATTATACAATTAGGTGAGTAATTGGAATGCTCGTGTGCTGAGTTCGTCTTTTTTTTATGCTTGATAACACGAGTTTTGTTTTTGTTGAAGCAGAAGTTCTGTTCTTTTTTCGATACCATTGGGAATGTTGTTGACCAACCGGAATATTTCAACTGCATTTTAAAGGCATAGCCCAGAAATACGATAGCTCTTGATGTTATTGTTGCAGCCGACTCGGATATGGAGACGCATCCAACACAAGCACCGTCATGAATTAACAGTTACGGAAAAAGTTTTAAGTTTAAATTGATTAAATAGCATTTTTACACGCGATCCAGTGACGGAAACGATGGCAAGCCTCCAAATCGTGTATGGTTCGTGTCACATTCTCACACCGCAGCCACATAATATGTCGCGCGTTGACTTGACGAAATCTGAGTAACAAAAAACACTTGAAGCAGCAGCAGCAGCAAGTGCATGCACACCAAACACCAAGCTACCGAAAAAGTAAATCGATTTGTTTTCAAATTGCAACATAATAATTGCATTGTATTTTCATCGCCATGCACCATGTTCAAGTGGCTGTGCAAAAGAAACGGAAAACGGAACGAAACGTTTTCTTTCGCTCCTTTGTAGTCAGTCGCATGAAATAGTTTGTTTTATTAGTTTGAATGGATTCGCTTTCACCGTAACTGTTTTGATGTGATTTATTTGCGCGCGCGGTAAATAAAACTGAAATCGATAATAAAGCATTTCAGTCGACATACACAGACACACACACATCGAGTTGAAACTTTGTAGAATGATTTTTTTGTTCTGTCTCGCTTACCCGTTCACTCGATAGCTGCCGAAAGGAAGTACATTCCAACAATTTGGTGAGTAAATATTTCAAGTTTTATGGGAAGTAACGAGCGGCTGATGTGCGAAACAGCCATTTGTTTGCGTCTTAAAAGCCACAAAAAATGTGTTTTCGAAATTAAAGTTTTCAATGGTTTTTCTTTAGCATTTTCTCAACGCTCTTTTACTCTCTTTCACATTCTCTTTGAGTGCATAGTAAGCAATTTGTAAGCCACTGAATAATTCTGTTTGCTTGCCTGTCGGTTTTTCCCCAGTTTCTGGTTGCGATAAATAGACTTTCTCACTCCGACCGAACTACATTATGCATAAAATCGGGTGTGTTTTATTTACAGAATAAGCGCATTTTATTTACATTTGTACGTACATTTAAATCTGTGCGCAGGAGGCAAATGATGATGATGAAAAACTTGAATCCCATTCTTCGGAATGCCTTTGGGGAATGCATTCCTTCGGAAATCGCACAATTTCCATGGTTTCATTTCAATTAGTGCTTTTCACTGAACATTCTATTCAAACTTTAATCAAATTTTCACGTTTTCTTTTCAACAGCAGTCATGTTTTTTCTTGTGGGCAAGGGAGGTACAATGTGAGAAACATTTGATTTTGGTTCCATGATTACTCATGTCCAGCCCACACGTATCCATGAGAAGGAGAAAAGTAGGGCATTCGAAGGACTTCAACAACCGCCTCAACATTTACGTCGAAAATAATATTTAAACTTATCTAACTGCAATATTTCAACCCATTCCAACACAGAGATAGAGAGATCTTTATCTTCACAGCAACTATCTCCAGAACATGAATTCGCACAT